TGTAAAACAGTAAATTTACAGAAAACACTTAGGCCATTCGTCTGAAATGATTAAACAAAATTAGGACATTTGGGGAAAATAGCAGCAAATTGCTGAATTCCTGTGAACATCTGAATCACTGCATATGTATTTACAATGTATACTGATAAGGAATAACAGATATATGTACATGACAACAACAGTAGAAGCAGTACCTTATGATGTTAGTTTATCTATAAAAATACTTGCATTCTGACTGGCTTTACTGGGAAATGCCCAAAAATAAATAGATGTACCAATTTTATCTGTATCAACCATTCCATCATCAACTAAACTTTGTACTACATCTTTCACTGACATTGATGCTGAAATAAACAAAACAAAACATTCAATATTTCTACTTTCAAGGTAGATAAATAAATTATAATACTTTACATGGCCTGTTATTATTGGTACCACATGCGATAACTGGGTAGTGCATGTAGGCAATGCATGACTGCAGGAAAAAGATTACATGTAAATCTGCGTAAACCAATGCTTGTTTATGTTTGTAAGGATATCGTTCAAATAACAAATCCATTTGTTCAATGTGAGCAAACCACAAAATCAAATAATTACTTCTCAAATTACCACATTTTCAATAAAACAAAATGGATGCTATCTTTGATCTGATTATGATACAGACTGACATGAACATGTATTCCTATATGTATGATGCATGTACCAAATATGAATGAAAATGGTCTATAAGCCTTTGAGATATAATAGTAGTGTGGACAAAAAGCAAGATGGCTGCCAGTCACACAGCCGAACAGAGACCAAATTATAAGTCTAATAAAGGACTGTACTTCCAATTATTATGTGATCGATAAAGGACTTTGAGAGGGATGTTTACTACAATAATGACCTTGACTACATCATGCAAATTATTGTGCAAATCCTGTCCACCCTAGGCTATTTATCACATAATAATAGAGCAGCGTGTCATCCTTTATTCCCTACTGCAGGTAGTATTGCACATTACTGTATTAGAATATTGCACTGGCCTGTGTTACAACACTATTCTCAGAGTTGTCAATTTTTTGTTGGTAATGTGTTAAAAATCCAGTGCAAATTACTATAAACAATTCAGTTCAGTTCAGTTCAGTTCAGTTCAATTCAATTCAAGCTCAGAATGAGTATCTCATCAAAACGCGAGTGGCCAAGATTAGAAATTAATTTTTACGAGTAACATATACTTACTAATTCCCTTCTCTTTGGGACCAATTTTCTCCAATTCTTTCAACTGAAAAAAGTCTTTCTGCCCAGACAGAAACAAATGTGTTAGTTGTAATTAAGCATCACATTCTAAAACTATAAGCTGTGATAACATTAACAGCCTCTGGAAACTATCCACTATATCAAGGAGAAACAAGCCATGCATGGCCCAGTCCACGTTAGTTATCAAATTTAAGAAATATAGTTTTGTTTATAGTACATGTACATATAATATAATTTGAACATAAAAATGTCAGAAGTTTGGATCCAGAAGATGGTGCTTGATCATGATGACATCTTGTATCTGATCGTCAAATGAGTTACTTGTCCATATTGAGAAATATAGCTCTAGAAAATTGTACCTTTGATGAAGTGTTTACATGATATAAAAATAACAGATATGGGGGTAATGCAATGTTCTTCTAATTATTAACTCAAGGGTGTCAGGTACTAGGGGTAAATATTTGTACATTCAGAAACATACTTTCCATACTATATCAATGGTATAAATTGCTTGGCTATTAAAAATATCTTGTTTTTTAATGGAGTAATTGGTGAAAACAAATACTTGGAGGTTCTCTTTCAAGGGAACCCCAAGAAACATTCAAGGCTAAAAGGGATGTTACATGCTACATGTATGGATAAAACTGAAACTCCAGGTGATCATGTGGGTTTTTGTCTTAGACTATTAGTATACAAGGAATACTAGTACATGAAAGGCCAATATGCTGTCATCTTAGATGTTCAGAAACATAAGTGTGACAGACCTTTTCAAAGAAGATCTCCATCATTCTGCTTCTTTTCTCATCCAAACTCAAACCTCTACGTTTTGACTGAAAGACAAAATATTGAGTGTAAATACATTACCAGTAATAACAAGCCATTGAGAATGTTAAGCCCCTTCTGTTGTATTTTAATACATGATAAATGAAATTTATATGCTCCATTCGGTTCAGGTGCAAGTACCAGTTCTGTGCTGTGAACAAAATGAACTGCCTAACAATTTAATGTGTGTTCTAATATTTGTCTTCAATGGCAAAATGTTAAACCAAATGCAGGACTTGACAATTACCTTGATGCCCAAATGATTTTTTTTTTAGACATGTTGTGTTTGATGGTAGACGAACAGCATTTTATCTCCCTTTATTTTCCGTCACACAGGGGTTTAATTCGTTAATTCTCAACCCAGTCAGAGAGTTTAACAATGTAAGGAGCTGGTAGGCAGATTTGCTTCATTGCTGCAATTTTCTTTTAAAATATCTGTTTATTTTCACCATCATTTCCATTAAAACCAACATGGCTACATTTCTGTATCCCATACTATTTCGTTCTGTGTTATGAAACAATGTTTACAGCAGGTAATTTCAACACTTTTTTTAACAGCTTTAATTTAAAAATGTTTTGACTTCAAACATCAAGAGTTCAACAATTTAGGTACATGTATTGGTAAGCTTTTTAATAATAATTTTTTACTACTAAAAAGCAAATAACTATCCAGTATTTTATTCAAAGTAATAATCTAATGACAACATTTTCAGACATTGAAGTCACAGTTGTCTCTCCCGACATTTTTTACTTTAATAGATGCTCTCTTTGTTGTCTCTCCCAAAGCTAATGCTGTGCATTTGGAAGGGCAGACTATTCTCAGCCTTATACTGCAGAGTAAATAAACCGCTCTGGGAATCGATCACAGAACCTACCTACCCACCTATCTGGTGCAAAGAGAACATGATATATAAAGAGAGATTCTTTGGAAAAATAAGTAGAACAAATGTAAAGTTAGACTTAAATTTTAATATTAATTTTTCAAAATTTAGTTATTTTATTACCGTATTCCGGTTAAGTGCCCATGCCCCGGCAAATTCCCACCCACCAATTTAGATACAATAATTTGAATAAAGAGATTGAGGGCATACGCCCAGGGGGTCTTTTTCTACACTTACAATAATAAAAAACCTATTTTTGTTCGTTGTATCAACAGTAGACTTCCTTAGAAACGATTCAAGAAAATCTTACGAGGGCCGTACCCGAGAGTCATTGAAATCACGTTGTTTTGGCTTTATAAAATATTCGGTAGCAGCTTGCGAATCGATAACTTGGGCCAGCAATTTTGCAATGTCACACCAGGATGTCATGCTGAAGACTGGCACCTTTTTTACCATCTTTCATCACAGCTATTGCATTTCTGTCTTGACAATTCAGTGTTTACTTCAGGACATGCGATTCCCCGCCTACTAACACTTTGTGCGCCCTTAATAATTATAAAAATACTCCAAGGGCGAAAATCGCCCCTTTCTTCACTGCCCATTGAATTCTTTTAATGATGGCCCATGCGTGTAATGGACTGTGACGCGCCAACTAGCTTGCTGATACAAATAACAATCATCCGTCTGCATATTTCGTTTAAAATTGTGCGTCCTTGTATTTAAAAACATTACCTTCTTCGGGTATGCGTACGTAAGTTGGAATAGCCCGCATTGAGTTTTTGGAGTGCGTGTGTGGCAGGGCAACACATTAAGCAACTTGCCGAGGCAACAATGAATTGTTGTTCCAGCTTGTTGCGCGATTTAATTGATTATTTTGCGCAACCAATTGTTGATTATATTAACGTACAAAAAATAAATTCATTGAATTGTTATGAAATGCAAATAAATTTCAACTTAGTTTCATCGTAAGCAAATGATTCCGGTCGCATATTAAGGTCTCATATCACTAATTGAAACTCCATAGACAATGTTAACATATGATGAGATTGCTATACGAAAATGATGAACAAAGTTGAAAACATGGCTCAAAAATAGGAAATCAACATGGCACTAATCAACAACATGAAAAAAACTAATATGTTGGCCAGCTCAAACTCTTGCAAATCTCAGGTAAACATGACACACCTACTGTATTTGGATTGCACCTAGAGAAATCACTGGAAAAACATCCAAATACACACAGAATAAACCCACAGGTACACAGTCACTAAGTTGTAAACAAAAGACCACATGCTAGTCTCACTTTTGACCCAGGTGATCATGCCTTCAAACAGGGAACACCTGAGAAAAAAAATATTAAAAAAAGGCATTTAAATTGATCAGCCATTGGTTGATTAGTGGTACAAGACCTTAAACACTCAATGCTGGGGAATATCCGCCATGTTTTGACCTGATACTGGTAGGTCAAATCTCTAATTAACCAATCAAATGGTGGATAATGCCAACATGCTCAAATTACCATAGCTCATTCAAATATGTTAATGTTATTGAACGCAACACAGAAGACATTTGCTCATATTGTCGTATTTTTTTTTCAAAAGATAAACTGAGTATTTAAGAATAATTTAACATTGTTTGCAGACATAACAGCTTGTCGAAACGAAACTTACCCATTTACGATAGTCACGATAAAAATCATACTCTTGAATAGGTAAATGTCCGAAAAATGGTGCCAAAATATTTTTTTTTTAAATACCTTAAAAAACTGCAGAAAAAACATGATTTGTTGGTCTCATTTTATTTTAAAAACCAAACTGCCGTTTAACGGCCAAGGGCGAATTTACGGCAGAATACATTGTATATACAGGATTCCTCTGATTGTAAGGTAAGGTAATTATTATATTTGCGAAATTACATCCATTTCAGAACACAAATGCAGAACATAACAATTGCTAACAATGGAGAACATAATGAAAAAATACTGCGATTTAATAAGAAAATTTATGCTCATTAGAAATTCCCTCCTTGTTAGAGAAAATCCCCCTCTATTTTGATCTGAAAGGGCGACAATCCCCCTCATAAATACAAAGCTGGAGAAAACACTGACAATTATTCTTCTGTCTTCCTATTTCAAGCCTGAGCCAATCGGTAAAGCAGATGCTTAAAGATCAAAGATGATTGCCAGACGGTAAACAAAAGCATCGTGCGAGTCGTTTGCCGCAACCCCATTTTTCTTGTCTCTTTATTCTGATTAGACGTGAATTAAAAGTGCCAAATGACAGACAGCAAAATCCGTGGATTAAATATGCTAAGTCCAAATTGTGTGGCGACATCGACTAACTTCAAGACAAAGCTGTAGGGATTTTGTTCGATCACGACAGTGACGCCGACTTGGACTTCGAGGGTTTTGACTTTTACGAAGATAGCAATGAATGTACAAATAGAGATCTGAGATTTTGTTTTTTTCAAACAATTATGAACTTTCGTAATTTTACTGCGTAAATATTGATCTTGTATGGCTGTTGATCCGGTATTTGTCAAAACTAAAAATAGTTTACGCAGTTTAACCCCTGACATTTTAATTCATTTTGAGTTCACGCATATTGGATGTGCTTGTCAGCGAGGAAATTCTAATTCAAATGATTCCTTACTGTCGATTTTTATTATTTCTGGTTTATTTGTCACATTATAAGCAATAAATTATTTTTGTTATACTTTTAATGTTGCATATTGTTCATTTATTTTCGTTGCATGTTGCGAATTTTTTTTTTTTTTTTGCAGAGGATGTCCGGGCATACGCCCATGCCTATTTTTTTGGTAATTTTTCATGTTCAGGACCCTGGGCGCTTACTCGGATAAATACAGTATAAAAACTTGATATTTCATGTACTGTACACTGCACCATATTATTCCGTGTAGTGTCAATAAATAAATATAAATTATGTAATTGATGAAATCACCAGTATGTTTTCACACAACAACATTCAGTGTAGGCTAGAAATTACCAATTTAAAATATTGGGAGAGAGCTAGAGGAAATTAGTCAATTGCATACTCCAGTTTTAACACTACTGCGGCAGAGATTTTTTCCTTTTCTGAGAGCAATTTTTTTTTTCAATAGGAGGATTTTTTTAATTTTATGTTGAGGAAGCATTTTTCTTCATTTTATCATGTTTATTTTAACATTAACTATCGAGGAGAATTCCTCTACCAGTATATCATATGCATTATTTGCTGTGTTAATACCTGGCAATATTTTAATAAAATTTAAGATGAATATTCTCTGGTTTGTTTTTTTCCCCATTTATTATTACTTATAGTTTCCATCCCCCAAATTTCAGATCCATTAAGAAGAATTGGTTTAATAAATGTCAGAAAGTCCAGAAGGTCTACAAACCTCCATGGAGGGCCTGTATAGCTATGCAAACAAATGGGGACTGCAAATAAACGTGAAAAAAAAAATCAATGATATTTACAAAGAATGGATACAATACTGAAAAACTTAACATACCCCGGTAATTTGTGGAGCAGAACCCATTGAAAAAGTCACAAACTACATTTACCTTGGTGTCAACTTTAACACCAATGGCTCAATGGATTCCACAATGACCAGACTTGCTGAGAAAGCCAGAAGAGCAAAAAAGCACAAACATCAATCTTGAATGCTGATAACAACACTTCAATTAAAACCAAACTTTT